ACAAGTCATTTCAATAGTTAAGATTATAAGTCCATTGAAAATAGATCTCTATGGAAAACTTGAAAATACTGGATGGTTATTTCGTTCTATTGTGGGACTTCTCAACAGTTTACATCCACTATCTCACTCGTAGGATTCGAAGTCAGATATTAATACCGTTGGATACTAGCCGGCCGGCTCAGTGGTCTAGAGGTTAGGCATTTGCACACGAGACTGATAGGTCCTGAGTTCGAATCTCGTGGGGTGGGATCGTGGATACTCACTACTGAGGACTCTCATACTAGGACGAAACAGCCGTTCAGTGCCTCCAGGTTTTCCATAGTAGTCTAGCTTCAATTGGCTTGTGATCTCAACTATTGAAATAACTATAATATCCACAAAAACCTTTCTGATATGAAATATAGAAGCATTGGATAGTTGTTTCGTCCTGCTATAAGATTCCTCAGTATTGGTTGTCTAACTTAGACTGGTTTGTGATTTCAATTAAATTCGACTATTTTCACAATCCCATATTGAGAATAATGGTTTACTTTTCGGTTAATGATCATGGCCCCCGAATGTTCTGGTACGACCGAGAGTGATGAGTCAGCTCTCCCTCTCCAAATACTCTCACATGGCCACATGCATACAACCGCTGCCAAGAAAGTCCTACTCATCGCCTTCTCTCGCCTCGGGTGTTGTTTACGAAATCGAAAGGACGAAAAGCAAATGTCGGATTGGTGGACACGGAGGATCAACCTACGGGAGTTGGAGAACCCTGATCCCAAACCAATGACGCACATGGGATCCAAGATACCGAGTGAATAAATGGCATATGAACCTAATGTTGAACACCGGCTACCATGGGACTGCATCTCCTAACATTGCTCCAGTTCTTTGTTCATTAGACGTTTAGGTTGAAGGCTCCGTATATGGCGTCTTTAGAAAATCACTTGTTTCGGTTTGGGTACCCGAACAGCATCCCAGTCCTAACATAAATCGAATGATTTATATGACGCATCTGTAATTGGTTCCTCCTTGTAACTTTGTTTATGTGTTTAAATAAAAATTAAAAAAAAGAACTAATGATTATAACTACTGTCAATACTTTTCTAATATAAAGATGGGTAGTAAAATACCAACCATGTGTACTGTCTGTTATTATGTTAAACCCATATATACCTCATTCTAGCTTTCGGACAGCTCAATCTATTCATTCTACTTGAGTCACATTCTAATCTTGTTCATTATTCACTTATCAATATCTTGACTGCTTTTATATGAGCGCGTAGGTGTGTGTACACCACCTCTTATCCCATTACTCATCACATGTCTGGAACTTATTTTTGTGTAACTATAATTATTGACTAACCCTTGGTTAAAGGGGAGTTCGCTTACATCCACCATCTCTACTGCGCATCATTTTTGCTTCGCTTTCTTCTATTCGCATCGTTTCCCCGTTCGTTTGTCTGGACCAACGATTATACAAAATATATGTATTGAAAATGTACATTCTCGTTATTTGACTTATTTAATTCTGTTATTGACTAACGCGATTTAAGTCACTGGATTATATACGTGGATAGGCGATAGCAATCATTCATACGATCATATCGGAATCAGATCACGAGCCACTAAATTGGAGAGCCCTTCGACAACATCATCCGATCTAAATGACGACAAAACAATGGGCCCCACAAAACGTGAATCTATTTAGAGATATATGGTGAAAATTTGAAGGAGGTCTAGCACTTTATAATATGATTTTGGAAAATGGCGTTTGAAATCCAATTCACTAATTTTTATGTAAACAATATGAAGCATTTTACTACTCTAACTATGTTACAACATGATACATATCAGTATCTTTTAGGTGATCGAAGAAAAGCTCTACCGATAGGGCTCTATTGCATCCAATATTCATTTATTATTTCCATAAATTTTAAATCCAAATCATTTCACACCCCATAAGTAGCGATACAGTCCCATAGGTCTCGTCCTTTCTTCTTCAATCTTCTTAACCTTCCTACTCACTGCTTTCTTAAGCCACGAGTGTTGTTTACGAAATTGAGAGGATGAAAAGAGAACATCCGATGTTTTAATCGGGTCGGTGATCTATCAGTCATTTCATATATTTTGTGCAGATCACTGGATTAGTGGTTAATTCGGTAAAAATTCAATGAATACATCTTAATCCCACGTAAGTTGGATCCAGAACGTATCAGAAGTGAATTGAATAAGTGATCATTTAGGTAGCTGAATAAAATTTTGTAAACTAGAAACTTAAGTGGGACACCGAATAAGTATGTGCCACACAGATCACTTAATTTGGGTGTGGGTTGTGATACTGCCCAAGTGCCAAGACCGAAGTATGTGGTTTCATTAGGAGGCCACACCCCGAGCCTTCAGCCTAAAGTCTGAACCACAAGGCAGTGGAGCAACGTCAAGAGATGCAGTCCCATGGTAGCCAGTGACCAACGATTGGTTCAACTCCATTTGTTCTCTCAGGATCCTGTCAGCCCATGTGCACCATTGGTTTAGAATTAGGGTTTCCCAACTCCCGTAGGTTGACCCTCTGTTTCCATCAACCCGGTTAAAGCGTCAGATATTCTCTTGTCGTCCTCTCAATTTCGTAAACAACACCCCCATTGCGCAAGGGCAATCAGTAGGACTTTCCTGGAAGAAGCTGTATACGCGTGGTCAAGTGAAAGCACTTTGAAAGGGAGAAAGGACTTTACCCCCTCGGCCGTACCAGGGCATTTGGGGGTTGGATGGTTTGGTCATGGAACTTTCAGAGAACGAAACTCCACATAAATAATTCACGTGAGCTACAAATGTTTTCCATTATCTTAAAACTGGATGATACATGACAGAAAGGTCGCCAGATGTATGGAGTTAGTCGACAAGATACCCTATATGACCTAGTTATCGTGTTAATTACATTGAATAACAAATCGTCATTTGAATATTTAGAGGGCTTTTGCTCCCCGATAGATTTGAACTCACGTCACCCCACCCATCTTAGCTTCAGACTTCGGTCAGTAGATGTAATCTGATATGTCCATTCATATATTTATATTAATTGTAAACAATAAATTAAGACCTTTGTGTTTACCAATAATTAGATTAACTTTTATTCATATGTTTATTTCATTAGTCATAATCGACCGGGATAGGTGTATTTTTATTGGGCGTGACCAGATTGTCTCCGCTTAAAATTATCCAATATTTTAAGTTCATTTTCATTTCACATATTTACTATTATCCGTTTCAGTTTGGAAACGACATGAGGCCTGATGACCTGCATTAGCCCAAGCAATGATGATCTCTCAGTTGATCTAACTTTCTTTCGAAAGTGTCAATAGATGGAGCTTCAATCATGTATTAAGTTAATGAACTCCACTCGTTGGTGATTCGATGGGAAATTCGATAGTCAGCTGACAAGTAATTTGTTCTGGGTTTATGAACGTTTTTGGAGATTGCTCGGAAATTCTCTGTTTTGGAAGTCAAGCAAAAATGAGGGCAGGTCAGGTGCAGATTTATCACTAAATAGATTGAAAACTTTAATCAAGTCACCTCTAGTTCTTTGATACGACAATGTGAATAGGTCTAGCTTAGCCAGTCGAACATCACACGAGAGCTTCGCTATTCAGGGAATCAGCTTAGTTGCTATTCTTTGAACATTTTCCAGAAGCTCACTGTCTTTTCTTAGGCAGGGAGTAGCCGCTTGTATGCAGTACTCAAGTTTCGGACGGATGAACACTATAATTCAAGGCTAAAACGTTTTGTTGTCGACACGACTAAAGGCCCTACGTAATGACGATAAGGTTCTAAAACCTTTGGTAGTTATTGCACGATAGTGTGCAGTAGTTTTTAAGTCTTGGCTAACAATAACTCCTAAGTTATTGTGTTTCTGGACAACAGGTAGCTCAATGTTATTCATGATGTATGTATCTGTACTTTGATGACCAATATGTATCATAATACACTTGAAAGTATTTATCGGCAACTGCCATATTTGAGATCATTCAGAAAATTCCTTCAGATCATTTTGAAGTTCTAAGTAATAATTTCTCACTGAATAATTTTTAAAAAAAAAACACTTCATCGTTGGTGTTATTGTTAGATTACAATATACTTAAGCTATTCTACTGTATTAAAATGAGAGATCTTAAATTTTCATTTACCTCTACTTCAATGACTTCACGCTATCTACAGAATATGTGAAGACTATTATGGATTCAATTCAATAATATTTGATGATTGAAAAGTGGTACTATGGGAGTTCAGTTTATCTTATGATCAGTTGGTAGGTAACAATATAGAATCAACTAATCTGATTTGTTTAAAAATGGTTTCTTTAGGAATCATTTGTAAAATAGCTTCGTCTCTCTTCCCTCCAGTGAAGATCCAGCTTCTCCTTGAAAATATTGATTGATTGTAATGATACCACTTGTTCGGGTAAGGCTTCCCATTTATTGATGACTCGATGAGAAAAACGGGACTCCACTTTCAGTTTATTAGATCGTGGTTTGTGAACCTTCTTGCTATAACCTCGAAGATTATTAGTGCTGGAAGGAGAAAAAAGATAAAACATATTAACACCCAAATCATAATTAAAGATACGAAATACCAGTATAAGGTCACTTCGCGTCTTACGATACGACAAGTGGAAAAAGTTTAAGCGTTTTAAGCACTCATCGTAAAGGAGTTTAGAAAGAACCTTTACTAATTTTGTTCCCACACTCTGATGAACATGCTCAATTGAGTTAGTATCCTTTATTAAACATGGGCTAGTTGCGGGCATTAGTTAGTTTTAGTATTTAATAGAGATATGACAAGTTCAAAGGTTTTAACATTGATCATTTATAAGGTCAAATACCTTTTTTTGAGATAATGGAGAAGACTTGTAGCTCAGGTGGATAATTTTGATAGAGTTTTATTCTCTGAGCTGGATGGTTTAGTCGTGGAGCTTTCATTGTTCTTCTGAACTACATCATCAGCACAAAATTCAGATAGAAGTGAAGTGTTCGAATTTTGTCCATATGCGTTTCATAGCTTGTTCTGTACACCTCAATGTTGATTGGTTTTTATTGACTTGAAATTTGTCATTGTTTACACAACCAAAATAAAGAAGCTCCACGACCAAACCATCCAGCTCAGAGAACAAAACTCCATCAAAACCTTGTTTTTTTTTTTTTTTTTTAGTTGTCAATTCTTGTCTTCAGGTCACTACTCATGAATGAGAATAGTACCTATGAGACTTCAATGCAAGTTTAAAACAGGTTAAAATAAGGTGACTTGATTTCCTGTTCCTCACCACCAACTTGAAATTGGCATACAATATCCATTCCTATTCTTCATTTCAATCCAATGAAAGAAGATAGAATTCTCTAGAATGTAAGACATAACAACAAATTAACCAATCAACATAAAGTAATGTTAATGATTAACCAATAGAATTTAAATAATGGATGTTCAATAAACTATATAATACAGAAGGCGGCCATATTTGTTAGATTCATTTCGGATTTTCGTTGTGTTACGTGTGTTTTTGTGCCGTTACTTTCGAACGTTATCAAAATGGTAAGCTATTGAATAACATTCTAATTTATGTATTACAGCGTGAATGTATCAGTGTACATGTTGGTCAAGCTGGTGTACAAATGGGAAATGCTTGTTGGGAGTTGTATTGTTTAGAACATGGTATTCAACCTGATGGACAAATGCCAAGTGATAAAACTATTGGAGGTGGTGATGATTCGTTCAACACATTCTTCAGTGAGACAGGAGCTGGAAAACATGTACCACGAGCTGTTTTCGTAGATTTAGAACCAACTGTAGTGGATGAAGTGCGAACTGGAACTTATCGTCAACTTTTTCATCCAGAGCAATTAATAACTGGTAAGGAGGATGCTGCTAATAACTATGCTCGCGGTCATTATACAATTGGGAAGGAGATAGTGGACTTAGTTTTGGATCGTATTCGCAAGTTGGCTGATCAATGTACTGGACTTCAAGGGTTTTTGATTTTCCATTCATTTGGTGGTGGTACTGGTTCTGGGTTCACATCTTTATTGATGGAACGTTTGAGTGTGGATTATGGCAAAAAATCGAAATTGGAGTTCGCCGTGTATCCTGCACCGCAGATTGCTACAGCCGTAGTTGAACCATACAATTCTATTTTAACTACACATACAACATTGGAACATTCTGATTGTGCTTTCATGGTTGACAACGAGGCCATTTATGATATTTGTCGGTAAGTTGCTTTTTCAGTGAATCAAACAATTTTTTAGACGAAATCTAGACATAGAGCGTCCAACCTACACAAATTTAAATCGCCTAATTGGTCAGATAGTAAGTTCCATTACTGCATCACTGCGCTTCGATGGCGCGCTAAACGTGGATTTGACGGAATTCCAAACGAACCTGGTGCCTTATCCTCGTATCCACTTCCCGTTGGCTACCTATGCACCAGTAATTTCAGCTGAAAAGGCTTACCATGAGCAATTAAGCGTTGCAGAGATCACAAATGCATGCTTCGAACCAGCAAATCAAATGGTGAAGTGTGACCCTCGTCACGGCAAATATATGGCGTGCTGTATGTTATATCGTGGGGACGTTGTCCCTAAGGATGTAAATGCTGCTATAGCAACAATAAAAACTAAACGTACTATCCAGTTTGTGGATTGGTGTCCAACAGGTTTCAAAGTAGGCATAAACTACCAACCACCAACAGTTGTTCCTGGTGGTGATTTGGCAAAAGTGCAACGTGCCGTCTGTATGTTGAGTAATACAACCGCGATAGCCGAAGCTTGGGCGCGTCTAGATCATAAGTTTGATTTGATGTACGCAAAACGTGCATTTGTACACTGGTATGTTGGTGAAGGTATGGAGGAAGGTGAATTCTCTGAAGCCCGTGAAGATCTGGCCGCACTTGAGAAAGATTACGAGGAGGTCGGTGTTGATAGTGTTGACGGAGAGGGTGAAGGGGAAGGCGAAGAGTATTAGGTTTCACTTCTTTGGATTGTTATGTTTCTGTTTGTTATTCGTTCCTAATATACTTATCTTATAACTACTTGTTATTTTTTTCGTTTGACATTGTGGCTAACCCCAGTCAGTGCTGTTGGGTTTTCTCTGTGTAGCGTTCAAACTGTTGATAAGACTAGCACTTAATATGGACTTTTTAATTAAGGTGAGTTGCTTAAGAAATGTTCACTAGGTACAGAGGTACTGCCAAACGTGGCTAGGTCATCTTTCGAATGAACTATGGGATATTCATTAGGGCTTTTTCTTGTGTTCCTCAAGAGTCATGTGGTAGTGCTACGGACCAAAAACTATTGGACTTGTCATACTTAAACTAGTTAGGGTTTTCTCGCGTACCACGTAGTTATGGCATCCTACTTTCGTGACAAGGTTTAGTATAATGCGGTTACAGGAAAATAGCTGACATGTACGGGTTAGTGAGCTTCAAACTTACTGGGAAGCAGATTGTGAATCTACGGTGATCAGTCTCGGGATCCTAGCCATGTCCCACTCGTGTCAGCAGTGAACTAACAGTCATCAAAATCGAAGTTGACTTGCGTGGCTTGTTTTGACTTATCCATATTCAGCCCATTGATGACCTCCCCAGCGTTCGGCATTAGACTTGACACTGTTCTCGCTTGCTTGACATATCGCAATTTTTGTAATGTTTGCTATCCCCAACTAGCCTAGCCGCGTTCAACGTTGTTAAAATAGGTTGGGGTCTTCTCACTTAAGCAACAGCAAAGACGCGATTACGGTTTTTGTAATACTTTTCAACTTTTGTTAATAGGAGTGTGGCAATGTTGACTGGTTACTCGTTATTTAAGATACTCAGTGACTGCCCGTACTGTTCTTGAAACTTAGTGGGTTTTGTTGTGATCATGAACCAATCTAAGTTACTCGACTATCAAAGATCTGGTAGCTCTGGATGGCTGCTTCGTCCCAGCACGAGACTCATAAGCGGTGTGCAACTGAGGATTGAACCCTGGCTCATAGTAGCTGTGCGACTTATACCATTTGGGGACCTCAATGAAATACTCAGTAATGTTTCCGACTTGTCTGTTACGCAATAGGTTTACAGAGAATGCAATGGTTGACACGATCCAAAAACCAATTTTCATAATATGATTTCCGGTGATTCTCTGAATTTAAAGAAAACAAGCGCGGCGACCAATTAGCATTTGGGAAGTACTGAAGAGTTATTTCATAGTAGTATGGGGATCTCCAGTAGTACTACTTCATGGTCATATAAAAGATCGGATCCAAGAGTGTGCATACACTACTGGGTGAAAATTAGAATGTTCTTTTTTTTCCGACAATCTTACCGATAAATGCATCTTAAAAATGTCAATCTGTTAGGCTGCTTACAGCACAACTTCTCATTAACACCATCTTGTTGATCTCATACAATTGATTCCATTTACTAATTCCATCGGTCGTTTAATGTTTTGGTTTGGCTCCTACCAACTAACATGGAGGTTCATCAGCTGGGAAGTGTATATCATCCATTAACAAAATCATAGTCATGATCAAGGTACAGCCTGGGGAAAATTTGCATTAGCCTTAATTTCCATACCACACCAACATGACAAGACCAAGCTAAAAATTTGAGTAGCGAAGGAGTTGGAATATTTGTGCTAGAAATGTTAACTAAGCATTGAGACTAGGGTTTGAGAAGACGGGATGAAAACGTATATGTGAAAGGACACTGGAACTTAAGATCTTTATTAAGAGAAAGGTGAGTGTCTCTGAGCAACTGTAATGGATTCTGATCGAAGTCACCAACCACTGATCGGGGGGGGGTGATAAAATCTATAAGTATTGATCGTAAAACATTTCACCTACACCTTTTGGCTTTTTATTTATTTGAACGCATAAATATTGGTACAAGAAGGCACCGAATACACATGTACCACATAAATCGAATGATTTGTGTGAGGGCTGGGATACTGCCCGGGTGCCCAAATCGAAGCTTGTAGTTTTCTTAGGGGGACACACCCGGAGCCTTCAACCTAAAGGTATGATTCATAAGACAGTGAAGTAACGTAAGGAGATGCAGTCTCATGTTAGCCAGTGACCAACAAAATGTTCATACACCATTTGTTTTCTTAGGATCCTGGAGTTCATGTGCATCACTGGTTTGTAATCAGGGTTTTCCAACTCCCCTGTGTGGATCCTTCGTATCCATCAATCGTGGTAAATCATCGGACATTCGCCTTTCGTTCTGTTAATTTCGTAAACAACACTGGTGTTGCGAGAAGGCAGTGATTAGGACTTCCCTGATAGTGGCTGCATACGCCTGGCCATACGAAAATAGGTCTTTCCAGAAAAAAGACATCAAACTGATAAAGATGCACAGTTTATCTTCATGGAGAACTATTTTGTTTAAATGCTTACTGAAATTATTTAACAAACATACTGTAAATAAACTTTACTAGAACTTGAGTTATGTTTCATGTAGGATATACCAAAAAAAAGTGCAATACCACCAAACTGTTAAGTAATTAGGTATCTTGTTAACAATTGAATAGATGGATCCTAAAAATAGCATATATCCATATTGATCGTCTACCATGGTTTGAACAGTCTAAAAGAATCATTAATACTTTTATACATGAATGCTTGTCTGAAAGTCAAGTACACTAATGAATGTAAGGTTATTGTACGTCGATGAAACAATAACACCCCTCCCCCAATATAAATTAGTTACCGTAATGTAGATCTCTGAATAGTAATCATTGTTATTGTACGGCCGAGAGTGGGGAGAGTCCGCTCTCCCTCTCGAAATGCTCTCACATGGCCACGCATATATAGCCTCTGTCAGGGAAGTTCTACTCACTTCCTTCTCCCAACATGGGTGTTGTTTACGAAAATGAGAGGACGAAAAGCGAATTTCCGGCACCGGCTTTAACCGGATCCCAAACCAATGGTGCACATGGGCTCCAGTCTTCTGCTTGAGGGAACAAATGGAGTATGAACCAATTGTTGGTCACCACCTACTATGGGACTGCATCTCCTTACGATGCTCCACTGCCTTGTGGGTCAGACGTTCAGGTCGAAGACTCAGGGTGTGACCCCCTAAGAAAACCACCTGCTTTGGTTTGAGCACCCGGGCAGTATCATAGCCCTCACACAAATCAATTGAGATTTGTGTGGCGCATATCTATTTGGTGCCTCCCTGTACCTATACTTATGTGTTAAAATAAATAATAAATAAAATAAATAAATATTAACTATATTTCCAAGGTATTTTACCATTTACACCACTTCGTATCCCAAAAGTTAAGTTAATCAATACTAATACTGAATTATTTGTAAACTGAATTATAATTATACCGTTACTTTCATGTATATTATCTGTGTTTTTGGATATATATATATATATATATATATATATAATCAGTGATATGGAAATGTATATGAAATCACTGTTGTTATGCCTTTCAAATGAATTCATGTGTTAGGTATATTATAGTACTGAATGCTTACGTAAATTTCATATTTACTATTGTATGAAATAGTTGTTTATATTATATCTGAATATAATTTATTGTAAATCATCGAATTCCAAAATAGTGATTTGAAGATGAAGTGCTCATTCTCAGATCTGAAGGTTTTAGATTCAAAGTAGCTAGTCAATGAGTATACTCAACTTAAAGGAATCATGTTTCACAAGTACGCAATAGAAATGCTTTCATTGACACATTTTAAACTTTACCTCTTTCGAAATGCATCCTCGTATATTACAGAAGTTGGTCTACAGCTTAATCTTGCAGCATCCAGTCAATTACGGTCATTTCACTTCAGCAGAAACATCGCTCAAAATTATACATACCGTTAAAAGTGTCAGCTTATTAGGAATGTAAATGAAAAACTTATGTACAGCATAAGCTATTGTTATCTACCAGTTTAAGCCTAACTTCAGTCTGTCATTCTTCTATGATGTTAACCTTCCTTTCTATATTCTATAGTTTATCGTTTTTATTCTATTATTTCTATTTCTTTCGAGTTATCTTCACAACTATCATTTACCAATGATTAGAACTTGTAGTAATTCTATTCTTAATAGAGATCATCTTAATGTGGGGTCCGTTGTTTTGTCGTCATTTAGATCGGATGATGTTTGTTGAAAGAGCTCTCGACTTTAGTGGCCCATGGTCTGACTCCAATTAGATCGCAATGATGATTGTTATTGAAATATATATGTCGCCTATCCACGTATATAATCCAGTGACTTAAATCGCGTTAGTCAATAACAGAATTAAATAAGTCAAATAACGAGAATGTACATTTTGAATACATATATTTTGTATAATCGTTGGTCCAGACAAACGAACGGGGAAACGATGCGAATAGAAGAAAGCGAAGCAAAAATGATGCGCAGTAGAGATGGTGGATGTAAGCGAACTCCCCTTTAACCAAGGGTAAGTCAATAACTATAGTTACACAAAAATAAGTTCCAGACATGTGATGAGTAATGGGATAAGAGGTGGTGTACACACACCTACGTGCTCATATAAAAATAGTGAAGATATTGATAAGTGAATAATGAACAAGGTTAGAATGTGACTCAAGTAGAATGATGAATAGGTTGAGCTGTCCGAAAGCTAGAATGAGGTATATATGGGTTTAACATAGTAACAGACACCACATTACTACATTTTCACTAGCCGATTATTATATGACACTCTCAATATTTGATTTTCGATTGTTGACCATAGAACACTATCATACCATATGAAGTTAATTATAAATTACGGTTATACAATTTAAGTAAATGAAATCATCGAAAAGAACATTGTTTTCCGCTTTCTTCTTCGATGACTTTAACACCGTTGGATGCCTACCAGCCGGCTCAGTGGTCTAGAAGTTAAGCGTTCTAGCGCGAAACTGATAGGTCCTGGGTTCGAATCTCGTGGGGGTGGGGGTGGGGGGATGGATCGTAGACGAGCACTGCCACGAAAAAGTCTCATACTAAAATGAAACGGACATATCCAGTACTTCCAGCAAGTTTTCCATAATGATCTAGCTTCAATGGACTCATGAATTCAA